TTAACTAATTCCGGAAGGTGAGTACTATTCTGTAGCAACACGTTTTCATTTTCAGCGCTGTATCAGTGTAACCGATTTCAAAACTCTTGCGAAATTGTGAGTCTGCCGCCATGTGTTTATGAGGAATAATGGGACATGTTCTCTTGATTTGTTTACGGCCTTCAGTTTCCTTTAATTCATCATATTAATTCAAACTTTCCTCGAATAGTACAAAGAATGTTATACTATGCAAAAGAGATGTCGAGATATTTACTGCATGGACAGGTCGATAGTAAGACAGACCGATAGTAACATGGACAGACCGATGTCAGGCGGCCGATGTCAGGCCTATAGAAAGACGAACCCATCCGCAGACAGGCAGTCTGGGAGTTGTTGTTGTTGTTGTTTTGCGTTATTAGTAGTATTGTTATTATTATCATTACATCTCAAGAAATTTCTATTCAATCAGCATTACTCATTAACTTGAAGGATTAAAATTAGAACTCTATCTAACCAAAAAAACAAATACTTCTTTGAACAAAACACCTACTTTGTAATGGTCAGGGTCTCCAGAAGACATTGAATTCTTACACTTTGACTAGTATCAGTGGTATTAATTGATGCAAATGTTGCTATATGCCATCTACTTCTGTCATGTTTGCCATGTCTGGTGATATAAACTGAAAAGAGATCTACTGGAACTAAGTTTATTAATTGTTCAATTTTCCTTTTCGCTTCTTGCAAGTTTCCTGATAAAGCGTTATCTGACAAGGAACTCTTCTTGACAGTCATCGTCTCTCTTATAATGTGTTCACGATTTCGAACTGTGCGTGTTGGCACATTGCGACATTTCGTGGTACTTTCATTAAAATTCTCGTTTATTATGTTTATCTTATCAATATCATTGTTCTGAAAATGCTGACTTGCTAAGTGAGCACACGCAGTGAAGCTTATCCACCTCAACAGCGTTTCTGAAAATTTTGAACCGCGTGAGGCAATGACTGCTCCCGCTGACATTCTTCACTTACGAGCCGACTGACTGCCCGCCAGAGGGCCGAAAGTGCACATAGTAGGGGGTAGGAGGCTTTGCAGGGAGGATAGAAGACTAACGTTGCCCGAGGCGGCGCATAGATTTAATGCGGGGGCGTCTAATGCTGTGAAATCATTTCCTCACTTCTTTAAATGGGTGATGTCCTATATTTTAAGCTATAAGGATCATAACTCACTGTTCACGTTCTTCTATACACTGATGTGCATCCATCTTTGTATCCACCACTGTTCGTAACGTTTTTAATTGATGGCCATTGTGACGTAATTGTCAATGTTTTAAAGTAAGGGCCGTTTTAAAAACTTTTTATTTAATTCTAACAAACAAAAGTTTACAATTTAATAATTGATTGTTCACTAGGAATGTCATAATCTCAAAATGAGAGCAAAATGAAGAAAATTATGAGAGCTATCTCTCACATCGAGATTGACATAAAAATGGTATATAGGCAATTTAAAGAAGGGTAATTTTTACGTCATATATATTCGTGATCACTTCCCTCCCATTATGAATCTGAAAATTTCAAGGAGCAAACCTCTCTGATACTACGGGTAATGATAAGATTAGGATGGGTCTTGTTAAATAGCTTAATATTTTTATACCATGTCGTAAATGATGAATATTTTTGATTAGATATTATAAATATTTAATGAACTCTTGTCAGAAATTAGAGCAGAAAATAATAATGATTGTTTTGAAGAATAATATTTTTTGTTTTGATAAAACCGTCTTCTTCGATTAGTCATAGATTAATGAAAAAATAGTTTATTGCTGTCATCATCATACAATAACAATTCAGTATCATTTTGTGTGTGTGTGTGTTTAGCAAAACACCATAGTGTGATTACATCGTAGCAAAGTCAATTACATTATCAGCCCCACTACCAATAGCAATATTTGGTGTCCAAATCAGACATGTATAATTCGTTGTAGTTTCATATTTCGTAATATCATATATAACAACAAAAATTTGCTAAATAATACAAAAGACAGTATTACTTGAACTGTAGTCTCTGTCATTTTCCTCGTCATTGCTCGTTCAATTTACGCGCTATGGTTCGAATTGTCAAATCTAATTGGTGATCATCACTCCTAGAATTTACTTCATTCTCACCGTTCAGTTTTCTCCGCATTTGCGCTTGAATGTCTCGCGCGCAGCTCCCTAGGTCAGACAAAGTGCAAAATGCAGTCACAGTATGGAAGCAATGAGTTTTACACCTAAGAAAGATAATTAAATAGATAATAAAGGGAAACATTGCTGTGTGAAAATACTGAAATAACACAGACACACAAAAATAAAATAGTTGTCAGACCCAAAGACTTGACTCATGTTTCTGTATGTCAACGCGCTGCATCCGAATCTGAAGCCAGAATTACACCACCACCCTCCAGTTCTTTTAAATCACGAAAAAACACCGTGAAATTGTATTTATTTATTTTTGGTTTTGCTTTTCTCGTGCCGGTGACGTCTCCTGCCAATCCGATACTCCCCTGCTTGATGTCCTGGCGTAGCTAGAGATTGGATGTTATTGGCAGCTATTGAAAAAAGCAAAATGCATCAAGATCTTGGGTTTCATTTCTTCACGTTCTCGCATGTGCGGAAGTTGAAATAATAAATGCAATGAATGTCAATAAATTCATTCTGTGTGTCGATACTTTACATGCAACTATGCTAATTGCTATCTTTTTATTTTTCAATGCATTCCCTCCCAACTTAAATGGACTAGCCAAATGATCATATGAACAATATTGACGTGTCCATTTATGGCACCAGAATACGAACAATACTAAAAATTAATGACTACCTCATTAACGAATGTAGTAAAAAGAAAAGTGGTTTTGTAATGTGCACTTCTACAACATTTATTTTTAGACTTTAATGAAATAAACCATAAACCATTTGACTGAAAATAGTGCGATATTGGTGCATTAATTGCATAAATGGAGTTGAAAAGGTATCAGTCACGTTTCTTGTGACATGTCTGACCCCCACTTCAAAACTATTAATTCAATTGCAGCGTAATTTTGATAAGATGTAAAAATACAAGTTGCAAAATAGTAGCACAAACTTAGATATGCATCTCCATTATTATTATTTATCGCATATTGTAGGAATAAGTAAGTACTTTCAGTAATAAATGATATTGTTTAGAGGCCGCATCGAAGTACGATGTCCGTTCTCTTAACCGCAACATGATGAACAATGGCGCTTTAACTCTATTGACTCCTTAACGACTTTCAGTGACTTTGTGTAAATGGAGACATTTCAGGAAACATTAGTACATTCTACTATCGCTCTGTAGTAGGCTTTACTGTTTGCTTAGTATTACTTTTCACTTTCATTTAACTGCATTTTCTATTGTTTTTATTTTTGCTCCATATATGAATCAGTTCTGACCAATAATTTACATTATTTTACAAATATTTGTTATATACGGGTACGAGATCACGTGCCGATCCAGTTGACGACGACAACGACAGATCGCCTATGACGAAAGTTTTGAATCTCTTGATTCTTTAAATGTGTCAGCGAGTGTATATTACTAGATACAGTAGTATTGCGTAGTAGTAAATCATTTTGTGCTTGTGAGGTAACTTTAAAATGTTTTGGAAATGGTATGGTTGCTAGAGGGGAGAGAGAAATTAAATTTGTTGGTTCTGATTATCTTGATCAAATTAGCCTTGATTTCACTTCGGCGCAGGTCGACCATGTGGTAGAGAAAAAATAATTAAATTAAAAATATTAGGATATTTATACATATAGCTCGACAAATTTATTACTTGGTGGTTCTGAAATAGGGTTAAACTACTAACATTGCCCAACTCGCATTGCGCAACATTGCGTTCCCAACTCGCAAAAACAAACTTTTATTTATATAGAATAAGGCCAAAGAATCTTGAATATAATAAGTTATTAGTTATTTGAAAGAACTGAGTCAATTAATTTATTGAAGAAAGGAGACTTAAACGTTTTTTCGCTAAATTAAGTCATATATGAACATTAAGTTGTTACTGATGAATGTAGAACTAATCTCCTGAAACGTGTTGAAAGGTGTGACTGGTATGAGAGTTTTCAGAATCGTAACGAAGGTTAATACGGCACTGCACGCAGGGTACGCACCCTCGCGGTGTAGACTGACTTTATGTTGCAGTCTATAACAAATATTTCAAATTCCCATCCCTCTAGCGAGTTAGCATTGAGATGGCTCGCATCAGTTTGGTTGGCTCAAGGATGCAGCATACTTTCTTCTTCACATAGAGTTTCATTCACTGCAAGCAAGGATGTGGTTGATGAGCTAAGAAATATGTTTTTTTAAAGTTCAACTTTGAGATCTTCGGATTCAAGGCAAAATAATTTTGATTCACGGCTGCTCATTTGAGACCCCGACTGCGGTCTGTTTAGTATTCTCTCTCGATGACGCTGTACCTTTATCAACCTCGGCCGCAATCACTTCAACCAGCATGGCAATAGGGACTTTTTGCACGGCGAAGCTTTACAGCAATCGACAGGATAATCGATCATCTGCGCATGGGCAGTTCGAGTTTCGCACAACTTTCGTGCATCTGCGCATGTGCAGAAGATTGAGATTGTTGTCAGCTGCTGCGCAACTGCTGCGCATGCGAAGTTCAAGTTTCGCACCACTTTTGCGCATGTGCAGAAGGTCGAGATTGCTGTCAGTTGCTGCGCATGCGCAGTTCGAGTTTCGCACCACTTTTGCGCATCTGCGCATGTGCAGAAAATCGATATTGCTGTCAGCTGCTGCGCAACTGCTGCTCATGCGCAGTTCAAGTTTCGCACCACTTTCGTGCATCTGCGCATGTGCAGAAGATCGAGATTATTGTCAGCTGCTGCGCAACTGCTGCTCATGCGCAGTTCAAGTTTCGCACAACTTTCGTGCATCTGCGCATGTGCAGAAGATCGAGATTGCTGTCAGCTGCTGCGCATGCGCAGTTCGAGTTTCGCACCACTTTCGTGCATCTGCGCATGTGCAGAAAATCGAGATTGCTGTCAGCTGCTGCGCATGTGCAGTTCAAGATTCGCACCACTTTCGTGCATCTGCGCATGTGCAGAAGATCGAGATTATTGGCAGCTGCTGCGCAACTGCTGCACATGCGCAGTTCAAGATTCGCACAACTTTCGTGCATCTGCGTATGTGCAGAAAATCGAAATATGTGCAGAGATTGCTGTCAGCTGCTGCGCATGCTCAGTTCAAGATTCGTATCACTTTCGTGCATCTGCGCATGTGCAGAAGATGGCGATTGTTGTCAGCTGCTGTAAGCTACGCCGCGCAACATATCCCTATTTTCGCCGTGCCCGTATTCCTTTGTCTTCCAACGTGAGAGCTTCTTGCCACAGATACTGCCGGGTGCGTTTCCGCGCCCTGCGGGGGTGTGGCGCCCACTTCCGGCGGAAGGGCGAGGGCGCCTCGTGTTTGAAGTACGCCTCCCAATCGTGGACCATCACGCGCTCCACCCAGCTCGAGTAGTAACTGACGTCGGTGTAGGTGCCCGGGTAGTGCGGCAGGCCGCAGCCCACGCCGCCCTTCACTATGCCGGTCAACTGGCCGCCGCACACCAACGGACCTCCGGAGTCGCCCTGAGGAAGGAAATGAAAGAAATTCAATAATTACAGTTCATAAATGGTGTTTTCAAAAGAATTGACTGTCCCTGCCAGGAATCGAGTCTATATTTTGTGATATATTTTGGACGGCCAAAACTTGGCCGTCTTGTGATATGTTTTTGGTCACATTGGAGACAATTAACAGGTAGGAAAATGAGTGATAAGATGTAGTGATTGTAATGATTCTGCAAAACAAGTTCTTGAGAAATCCCACTTTAATCTCTGATTAAACATCTTATCCAAGGCAGAATGCCCGAAGCTTTGATGAACTTCTCACTTGAGTAACGAAACTTTGATAACTAATTATTTGAATCTAACTGAGTAAATGACCTCTCGTGTTTTTAAGACGCACCAGGAAGGCGAAAATGCATTTGAGGCCAAGGCCGGATGTAACGCATACTTCCACGTCTTCGCCTTCGATTAGTAAATGTAGAAGTGGTAAATTTTACTGATAATTAGACAAGAGATACATTTGTGAGATGGATGATGCTTCTGATGTTTTTTCTCCTATCCTGATAAACATCTCTCAGTTTATTCAATACTCATATTTATCCTCAAATCTGAGTTTACCTCAAGCCTGCGTTGTAGCTGTCTCTTAAATAACTGTGTTGAGGAGGAAAAGTGAGTTGGAGCCCGACGAAAGAAGATTTTCCACACTAGCTTGTCAGTTAAGTCGAATTCAGCGGCTGTCTGGAGAAGAATGTCTAGCGGTCAGTTACTCCGATCGGAAACTTGGTGGTTTGTCCGATCAATACCGGGTGAATGCCGGAGTAGTACCGTAATAAACGGGCCACGCATTGCGCGTGATCTTTCCTTCCTCTTTCTTGATCTAACCTTTCCCCTTATTCACACACACACACACACACACACCTCACCACCACCAACACACATGTTGGGAGCTTGGAGCGTTTTTCTATTGGGCGGTTCTTCGCTGGGGGAGATTCCTGGAGGGAAAAACGTTGCAAGCTGACGCGTAGGTTGGCGCCGCAACTCATCATGCAACGGGGGACGAACACCGCCACCTCTCAGAATAAAAACATTCACAGCAGTTTCCGGACAAATGACCATAGTAGTTGACGTGTCCGGAAACATCAATCAATCAATCAATAACAATTACAGCATCCCAAGTAGCTGTCAGTCGTGACAGTGGTTGACAATAGAAACGGGAAACCAACTCTCTCACAATTGTTGAATTTTTCAACAATGACCAGGTGGTGAAATTTATAACAGTATACTATAAGTTATCTGGTTGTCCTAGATGTTTATACTTTCTTGTATTCAATAACAATAGAATTTTATAGACAATAGCAAATTTTATATCAGTAATAATTGATGCAAGTTACCAATAAAAGTTATTCTTCTAATAGAATATGCAAACAGCTCATTAAATTTACCTTAGGGACAAACACAGTCATGAGGATAAATATGAGTATTGAATAAACTGAGAGATGTTTATCAGGATAGAGAAAAAAATCGCGATGCCGAAGACGTGGAAGTATGCGTTACATCCGGCCTTGGCCTCAAATGCATTTTCGCCTTCCTGGTGCGTCTTGAAAACACGAGAGGTCATATACTCAGTTAGATTCACATTCACAACACTTATCAAAGTTTCCTTACTTAAATGAAAAGTTCATCAAAGCTTCGGGCATTGTGTCTTGGATAAGAAGTTTAATCAGAGATTAAAGTGAAATTTCTCAAGAAATTGTTTTGCCGATTCATTACAATTACTACGTCTTATCACTCATTTTCCTACCTTTTAATTGTCTCCAATGTTACCAAAACATTCACTTCTTTCTATAAGCATTGTTGGCTACGTATGATGCTTTGGGAAGGAAATTTTATAATAAAAGTGCTCTGGCATTCTTACGATTCATTTTAATACTCAAGGTGAAAAGTAAACGCAGTTTTCTTGATGAAATAGTTAACAAGTGCTACTTTGTTATATTATTGAGTTCATCAAATATGAACGTGTAAAATGTGAATGCACCTGTAATAGAAAACATATTGATGTGTTTCAGGAATCGTTTAATTTAGTGGTTTTTAGACTTTTTGTTTCCGTGACTCCCTTCAGGTATCAAATGCTGCTCACGCCTTCCCTCATTAAAATTAAATTGCTAAAACAACGAAACATATTTTCCTTGAAAGTAAGGCCATCATGTATATTTTTTGTTATAAATTAACTGTAAACAAAATAATTATTGCAAATGATTTGCACTATTCACTGTTGCAATTTTTGACATAAATGTTTGACAAAGTGAGGAAAACTGCGAGGAAAATTATAATAAACGAACATATTGGTAGTTCAGAAAAGTCATCAGTGAGATCAATGAGCTTGTTTACACAGTTCATGCAGAAATAATTTGAGCATTATTAAGCATTAGGGCATTATTTTATTCAATTTTTACGAAGTTCTCGCTCCTCCCCCTGAAACTGTTGTGCCTCCATGGGGAGGCGCGCCTCAGAGTTTGAATAACACTAATTGAAAAGAGTTGTCAACGAAACTTTTCGTTATTTAATTGTAATGCTGAACACGTTCATTTTCTCAGATTGGAAGCACATGGGATTCAAAAGTGCTTCTCATTATTACTAGTGTGCATAAACATATCTAAGGATAATCTTCCGGTACGAAACTAAATTGAGGAAAGGAGAATTGTGAGAATCTGATACCGTCCTTGTTTGAAAAGCTTGAGATTGGCAACTATTGTAATTTCTTTGGTTGGTTAATATCCTATATCACAATGAAAGGAAAATATCAGACAATCATGTGTTTCTGACATACCAATATATCCGAATAGTTCGGAGTGTTAATAAAATCAAACATGATGAATTCCGTGGTGGTAGCGGATATCTTGTGGTAATCCATGGTATTGTAAAGGCAATAATCTCCACAAAGTTTGTGGAACACTTTGGAAAGAAACTTTGTGGAGATTATTTCCTTTACGATATCAAACATTATGAGGTGTTTGTATACACTGGTCAGTACGTTATTTGATTTTGTAAATTAAACAGTCCGACCTATTTCTCTAACATTCTTTGGCACATGTAGGAAAAATTATAAGAGGGATCAAGGGAAGCGTTTGCATCCACAACATTATCCAAAGAATATAGGAAAGACGAGACCTGACAGGTATCGGGCCCCCCTCGTTCGTAGTAACCGGCGCACAGGAGGTCACCGGGCGGGTCGTAAGGGTACGACTTTTCACAGCGTTTTCGGCTCACCAGAGGAATCTTCACGAACTTCAGAATGTCTGGATTCGAGTTATCCTGAAACACAAACACCAGTTGATCATTTAGGAAGATTGCACAATGAATATGTAACATT